CTATATAGATATAGGATCATTCCATTTTAAAGATTCAGTATCTGTTTCCTGCTTTTTTACATGGACTATAAAATCCAAAGTAGATGGGTAAAATCATGTTTTTATCATCCTTCAGTGAATTCCAAGGCAGCCCACATGGCTTTTCCCCACCCAATTTTTATTCTCACAGTTACCCTGTGTATGATTTCACTATATAGCTATATTATAGAAAGGATTTGGGGGTGGAGGTTCATATTTTCCAAGTTCTGAATAAGCTGGTCAAATAGATACAAAACTTTCATAGGCTCTCCTACTGACACCGTCTTTCCTGGTCAGTTGAAAGGGTGGCATCAGATCACATAGCCTTGTTCTTGCTGATCTGCGCATTCTTTAGACTTGAGACCTTGTGCTTTCTTTCCCAACAGTATATAATACCAAGTAGTTTTTGTTAACCTTGGGAGGATAACTCTGAAACCCTGGCAGAGCAAGCTTGTCCTGTATGTAGCTCTACTCTGCTGATAATACCAAAGAAATACAACGGCAGCTTAATCACTTTCTAAAGCATCTCGGAGATAATAATAGTTGCTATTATTAATATTAACCTTAAAATTAGAAAGATTGCCCCCAATTCGCCCACACCATTTTTCCCCAAATGACAATCATTAGACCAAAAACGTATGTGTCAGTGTGCAAGTCTTCACAACCACAAAAAGTGGTGTCTTCCTTCCAAAGCTCTATTGTCCCTGTTTGGCATCCTCCCCTCCAGATGTGTCAGCCTTCAGCTTTCATTTTTTCCCTCATCAGCATGGCTGTTATCGGGGAGGGGGGGGACAATGACTGTCATAGTCTTGTAACTCTAGAGGACATTGGGTTGACAAAAGTCAATCAACAGCAGTGTTGAAAGTAAAAGAATATCTGCAGAAATCAATACTAACAGCACAACTGGATAACCACAATATACTGCATTGGTGGTGCCACCATGAAGTCCAGAACTGGAAGGCAGGACTGTCCCTGACCCAGCTGCCACCCTGTTGGGTGTGTGCATGACACTCCCTTCCTTTGGCTTCTGTATATTTTGTCACAATTTCAGCACACAGTTTGGGGGCATGATATGCCCGTCGTGTTTAAGATCATAAAGCTGCAAATGTGTGCCTGGTCACCTTTACTTGAGTGTCTACACCATTTGTTGAAACGACAAGGATGATAGAAATTTTCCTGTGGATTAAAAAAACAAAAACAAATCTGTAAACAAAATACTAGCTGTGCAAACCAGTATTTCCATCATTATCAGTGAAACTAATTCGCCCCCCCCCCCAATATTTGTTGCAGTTGTTGAGTGGACAGCCTGAATACACACACACTCGCAGTTGCCTGCCATTAAATACAAGTGTGATAGTAAACAGCACCAAGAAAAGAGGTTCAGTGGCTGAAATTTTACAGTGAGAACAACATCCTCTGTGCTCAGTTCATAACCATGGTCTCAGGGAAAGGCTACGGAGATTCCCTTGGCAAAGTCTCATCAACAGGAATCTCCATTTCATTCTCTGGATGTGGGTGGCACTGTGGGCTAAACCGCAGAAGCCTGTGCTGCAGGGTCAGAAGACCAAGCAGTCGTAAGATCAAATCCACGTGCCGGAGGGAGCACCCGTCGCTTGTCCCAGCTCCCGCCAACCTAGCAGTTCGAAAGCATGCAAATGCGAGTAGATTAATAGGGACCACCTCGGTGGGAAGGTAACAGCGTTCCGTGTCTAAGTCGCATTGGCCATGTGACCACGCAAGATTGTCTTCGGACAAAACGCTGGCTCTACGGCTTGGAAACGGGGATAAGCACCATCCCCTAGAGTCGAACGCGACTGGACAAAAATTGTCAAGGGGAACCTTTACCTTTACCTTACATATCCTCCCAACGATAATGACTGATAACTTAGACTGCTGCTTCCTGTCCCAGGGAATCTCATAAACAGCCTCCCTCTTCTGACTCTATAGGATTATTACCACACCAATGGTAATAGAAATGCATGGGGTGCATACAGGAACAGGTTTGATGTCATGGGAGCTCCTCTATGTCTGTCTGTTTGATTAGTAGCCTCTTTTCCAATAAAGAGAACCAAGGTGGCCTGCAAAATGGTTAAAAAAAGATACAGCTAAAAACCATGATAAAATTACACTACAAACATCCAGCAGAGCAACTATTGGTATTAGAACAATGTAAGGATACATCAGAAGAAAGCAAAAAGTACAACATCCATACTATTAAAAGCTCCTTCCTTAGTAGCTCTTCTTTGTGCAAAAGCCATGGGCAATTTACATCCTTTCTGCACTGGCATGATACGGCGTCCAGAGATTTTGATAACTGTAATTTAAAAATGAGTTTTCCAAGTTCTGTTGCTTTTCATCTTTCCGTTCAGCATGTCTCAGGATGCAAAGACACCTGAAATGAGAATGAAGGAGAGTGAGAAGGTTCTTGCCTGTTCACAGATTCTAATAACAGATGCAGCCAAAGTGTTGCAACTTCTGTTGAATAGCATAAAGTCCTAGAAGAAGGTAGAGAAGTGAGCTGCTAACCAATTGCTTTAGCAATGGAAGCATACTAGTATGCAATGAACTGTATTTTTTACAACCCCAGAACCTGTGGCCATGCAGCCAGCATGCATTTCATGCTGCAAAATTCTGATTGATGAGAGACAAATTTAAGATGCTCGCAAGGCTACTGAGTTGAGAGTGCTTGCTCCGAGGGTAGGCTGCAGTTTTATGTTTATTTGGAAGTAAAGTCTGATTGACCAAACATCTTGTACGGATGATCTGGGGACATGCAAAGTAAACTAGATCTTGTGTCATAAATGCTGGGGGAAAGTGGTAGCATTCCATATTTTCAGATAATTGTCATTTCACATGGATAAAATTTCTGTTTTCTATCTATTGGGCTGTAAAAAGAAACCTTGAGTGATACATATAATTAATGTTGATATAGAGACAATGTTTTCTTTTTTAAAGCAGTACCTTTACTGGCTAAAAGCTACAGTTACTACATCCTGTTACATCCTAACTATATGATTCCATGATAGACCTAAATAATGTTGAATGATGTGTCATTAATTTCAAGTCTTGAAAGAAATGCTTCTACTATAACATAACATGATATTAGACTTCTGTGCTGCAGCATCACAACGCTGGCTCATATTCACTTGATCTATTGTAACATATTTGGGAATATTGCTACCTAGTCTGCAATTCAACCCATCATATTAAAAGTGCACCTGTTAAAGCACTTTATAGTTATCAATATTATGTCAAACTATTCCTTATCTTCAGTTTGAGATTATTCTGACTTTAGCATAGTATTTGTTACTAAAAATACCCTGGGATGCTGGGGTTTGTATGTTTCCACTTATCTGTAAACACAGTTCTACTTCAAGATCTCTCTGTATTCCCTGTCTTGCCTGCTTCATTGCAGCTCTTCACTTGTAAAGCTTGTTCAGCCAGTTCGTGGTAACAAATGCCTCATGGGTGGAGGATTGACTCAATCTTGTATGGCTGTTCATAAATCATGCACCTTTGAAAGATACATTCTCCTGTCTTTGAACCATCAGGCATGCAAAAACGTTTATATAGTCAATAGTGAACACATCTGAAGCTGCAATAACTGTGTGAGTCATTTGGGTCAATATATGGATTCTGGTATATAGGTAGACATGTTTTAAGACCCTATTCACACTTTTAGCAAGAATCCATGATACAGGACTTTGGAACAAATAGGATGCCAGCCAAGGCAGAAGGTTTTTTTTACATGTTTGGTGCCAATGTAAAATTATGCAGATTTATTGGAAGGTTGTTCTAAAAGTGAATGATTGAAGGGAATGCAGAGTTAAGCAATGCTCTTTCACAATGTAGACTTTTTGTTCATCAGGCAAAGACTAGCTGAAGGTTCTCTTGAAGATGCTGCTTTTCAGTATACAGAGAGTTTGTGTACTAGAAGGGCTCAAATTTTCACTTATATTCTCAAGTGGAGGACTATCATAAAACTTTCTCTCCCATATTAGCTACGAGACAGTTAAATATATTGTAAAGAAGCAAGTATGTTTTGTCTGATCTGTTAATAGTACTTAAAGGAATTGACATGTTATTCATATATTTGTCAAAAGTCTCCACTGGGCTGGCCTAGGTCATTTTGTTGACTGAGGTAGAGCAGCAAATGGCACCTCCACTCACCCAAGTCAGGGCACATGGTGCCCAAAACTAGCCAAGCTATTTTGGCACATGAGACAGTCAATCCCAGTAAAAATTACTAATTATTTTCTTCTTTTGTGATATCCCAAACTTGCTTCCTCTGAGGCAGTTGATTAATCTATATAATGATAGAGCCAGCACTGCTCTTATAAGGCATGTCTGGTTTTAGTATCCCTTTCACTAACAGGGTTGAGAGGTAAACTTTCACCACTTCCCATTGTGTCCTTCTTTATTCCTTATTCTGGAGTTTTGGGTGATCCTCTGCAATAGTGCATGGCAGGTGTTGCAGAATCCAGCAAAAATTACTTTTCCCTCATTACTCATGAGGACTCAGTCCAGTCCATGAATAAAAATAACTCTGATGTTCACAGAAGCCAGGATAGTGGGATGAGAAATCTCTCCAGATCTTACTGGACTGCAATACCCTTCAGCCATAGCCAGCCTGTCTAATAATAAGCTGTGATGGTGAGCTGAAGTCCAGAAGTATATGGAAAGTCATATGTGCCCTACCACTGCTAGAGAGGATGTAATAGAGTGACTAAGTAAAGGAAAGTGGTGGTGATCTAGAACAGCCATTCTCAAGCTTTTTTTTGGCCACGGCCATAAACATAAAATGAAAGAACTACAGGATGAATCTGGATTGTTTACATTGCATAACAAACCTTGTAAGATGGTTTCTAATCCGTGGTCCCCTTCAAATGTGCCGGGGTAGCCCCAGGCTGTTCTAGAATGCCAGCACTGAGTCTGTGAATCAGTATAGTTTGAATCCCTGTGGATGTTTTTGTAAATCTACTTAAATGTTGCTCCAACATTCTTGACTTAACACCAATGCTCAGATCTCAGTCTTGACAAGAACAACTCAACACAGCATTTTGGAGTGTCTCAGGTGGAAAACATGGGAAACATCATTTTAAAACTAATTTCGGAACCATACAGTAAGCAAATACTATACAGTACATTTGTAAGCGTGAGTTTTTCCACACGTGGTTCAATTCTTCCTGTTTTCTCTTGCTGCTTAATCTTTATCTGTTTTGTGTTTTAGAATGAAGTGGTTTTGGGGGGGTTGGGGAACTTACTTTTTTCTTTGTCAAATCATAGGGTAGACCCTGATGCACCCTAATCTTATCCCCTTCATGGCCTGTTAAAGGTTACGAAACCAAGTCTGTAGGAGCATTAATATTTTTAGCTCAACAGCCCCAAATTGGAACAAACATTTTGAAAGTACATGGATTAAAAGCTAAGGCGGGCAGGTGACTGAAGATATTTTGCTGCCTAAAAATTCCATGTCTGACCATATCTTGCTTCAGAACTGGTGGAATCAGAGACTCCTCCATCACTACTGAATAGACTTGCCAGTCCACATCAGCAACATCCCATTCTCTAAGATTCTGAGGCTAAAACCTGAGATCAAGGGTGGTTCCTTGTGATACGGAAGAGTAGGGAAGATGTTACACATGTGACACCTTGGTGCTAAGCAAGTGAGCCCTGGCACCAGCTGTAATTGGTGGAGAGAGATGTCCAAACTGTAAAGCCTTCAAGCATACAAATCAAACTTTCTCCTGTTCTGACATGATCTACCCTGAGATTTCTCTTCATGCCTGAAGACGTGGAGAAGTATAGCAAGTCCTTGATTTGTCATCCTGCACCCTGATACTTAACAACCTCACTCTAAAAAGGAAGCATAGTCAGGGGACTGCCATTGCTGCCTGAGGCTATCCCTCAACTGTGTGAGATGTAAGTCTATGTTGCCAGAGGACTGGTCTGCCTCGACCAGTTTTACCTACACTGACTGGCAGGGATTCTGCTGAGATACAGACAGGCATATTTCTCATGCCATAAAGTGTGTTGCTTATATACCACCCATAGTACTTAAAGCACTCTCTTGGCAATTAACAGTATAATTATGCAGGGTACAAATTGCTCCCATTTTTAATGTGTAGGGTGGAAAGAGAAGAGAGATAGTTCTCCTTGCTTCCTAGACATGTTGTTAAAAGGAAAATTAAAACTGATGCTCTGTTTTGTAGATCACCGGTTTTCAGATCCAGAAAGGGTAAACTACAAATTTGAAAGTGGAACTTGGTAAGTACAAAATTAAACATAAACTAACAGTTCATTGTAAGATTTTATTTGACTGATTAAAACCAGCAGTTATACTGATGAACCATGGTGTTCAGACTCAGGCCTGATCCTGGGATTTTCTTAGGACAATTACGGGAAATCCCATGGTCCTTTAGATGTTTTGCACGACACCTGTCCGAACTGTTGACCATTTCACATGCTGGGTTCGGACTGGGGTTGAATGGTGAGCAGCCTCCCATTCGCTGAAATTTCAAGGCTGAAACCTGAGACTGGGAATGAGCCCTTTGTGATATTACAAGAGGTGGCCATTTTTAACAATTGCAAAAGTGTGTGTGTGTGTGTGTGTGTGTGTGCAGAAATAAAAATCAGGATAGAAATATGATGCGTAATTAAATAAAACAGACAGATATGCCTTCATACTGAGCCAGCGAGCACTGATGTCAGTTGGGAAGAGATGGGCACTCAGACATTAAAGCCACTTCCTCCAGGAGAACCAAGCTGTCTTCTTCAATTCTGCACAGAGATTTTTCTCCCCCCTTGAAGACCCAGAAGAGCATAGCACTTCCCTGGGACTTCAGCCAGTACCTTGAGAATTAACAGCCTTAGCTGGAGCTGATGAGAGTTGCAGACAAACACAACGGAAAATGAACATAAAACAAAACCACAATAAAAGACCAACCCAACCCACACCCCTTCAATCCACCTAAACAAATGTACATACAAAAGCCGAAAATGGTGATGGCAATACCATCAATTAAAATAACAACGATAACGTTAAACAATAAATCATATCAAATATGGAGAAGGTTCTCAAAGGCCTGTCTGAAAAGCGATGTGTTCTACTGAGTCCCCTCCAGCAGTTCTAGTGAGTAACACTGTTCAAGGGCTGTGCAAGTACTAGCATAAATTTTAACCGAAAATTAAATTTGGGCATTGCACATATTTACCAGGGCATTGCAGATCTTCAGACTGTTAGGGTTTTTTTTAAGGCCAATATGTTAGTCATTCAAGTTTAGAAATTACATGTGAATAATGAATAACATAATACGTAATTAACGAGTTACTAACAATTTTATGTTTTTGCCATCCCCTTTTCCAATTGCCCCAGTAACATTTCTGCAACAATAAGTCAGTATCTCTTCTTAAAGAAAAAGTCCTAGCATTTGCTTCATTTTCATTAAAACATTTGAAAGGAAGAATACTAGGCCTTGCTCTACCTCCCAAAAAGATGAATGAGTGAAAATGCCATTTTTAACCTGTGACGTATTCTTGGGGGCCTCTCTGTCAAGCGCAGTATTTGTCTTTACATTTCACAAAGAGCTCCCTCCCTTTTTGCCTCTAAGAGCAGATTCTTAAAGCACGAGTCTATGTATAGTTCACTTGCTTTGAATCATGTCCCACCAGCTGATAGGGAGGGAAGCTGTTTCTTACTAATTGTGCTGAGTATCTTTTTATGATGGTTCAGAGAATGTTTCAGTTGTGAGCAGTGTGTAAACAAAGCTTTTATGGAGTTGCTAGGAAGGATAGTTTATCCTGGTTCAGATAAAATTGTAGGGCAGGAGTAGATGACTGTGGGCCTCCAGTGGCTTTGTTTGAATGCAGAATTCACGTAACCCCTCAACGCTGGCTGTGTTATGTAGAACTAATAGGACTTGTAGGCTCAAAAGAAAATCTGGAGAGGCAAAGGTGCCCACTTCTGTGGTAGAGGATGGTGTTAACTTCTGAAATCTCTCTCCCTTCCCCTTTCCTCCATCTTGAGTTGTGCAAATTGACATTTTGTGTTTGTTAGGTTTTGATAGTACCACTAGTTCTTTATCAAAAGGAAATACCACATTGTCGGTTGTTCTGACTGAGCCTTGTAATAGGCTTTATAAGCTGCATTGCAGCTGGGTAGTTATGATACATGTTCATCATTCCCAGGTGAGCAGTTGAATTTTCTGGTGGAACGCCTCAAGATGCCCTGCTAGCATTTATAGATTTTTCCAAAGAAGAGAAATGAGTCAATACACGACTATCAATCAATACAGTGCCTGGCTAATCTATGCATGACTAGGCAACAGCACAGTCATATCTCAGATTGCCTGATGTTTCAGATATATGTTGTCCTGCCAGAAAGCTGCCCTGTGGTTTCATGGTGGCCAAGGAGAAGAACAGGAGAAGCCACTGTTCTGAGCCAGCACTGTTTTTATTTACTACATTTATACTCCACAACTCATCTAAGGACCTCAGGGAGACGTATATCATTCTCTTCCTGTTTTATCTCCCTGAAGATCCTAGCCTATAGTAGTTTAATATTATATTTTATATATTTTAAACTCTATTTTCTCAGTTATAAAACTTGGATTTTCTGACTCAGTGTTGGCTTGGGCTGGGTAACAGGGACTGCTTAAGTGGCTTAGTGAAGATACGAAGTTGAATCTTTTTGGTCGTAGTCTAGCATTCTAACCACTGCATTACCTCTCTTGGCAAATCTCCAGAAGTGATGGACTACAACTCCCATTATCTCAGGCCTGGTTAATAATGACTGAGATTTGTAATCTAAGGCATCTGTAAGCTGTCAGGCTGCAGAAAGTCATGTTATGCATGGCTATTGCTTATCTCTACAAATGTCTAATTACCTGTTATAGTGCTGTCAGTGTAAGTGACATCTTAACAGGATTGCACAGGGAGAAATATAGGCCCTTGCCCCTAAGAAACATATGATCTAAAATATATAATAAGGTGGGGGAGGGGGGGAGCGATGAATTACCGGTATCCCAAACCTCTGCTGTCTTAAGGATACTGCATTTTACTTTCTCTGTTTATATAATATTCTGTAGAGGTGAACATGATAATACACTCATGTTTAAAGAACAATGTATTAAGTATGAAGGGCAAAGATATTAAGTATGAAGGGCAAAGAAGAGAACTGGCTGAGGTAAATGAGGGGAGAAATCTATCAGTGAGCATGCTGGAAACACCAGCTTAAACTGTAAGAGAAAAAAAATAGATGTAAAGGGGAATATTAAATACATAAGAAACTAAACTGGAATTAGAAGTAGAGTTTAAAACATACTGAAGGACTAATCTATATTTCAAGAAATTGAAAGATTTCTCAGGTCTGTCTCTTCCTATTTTGTAAAGCATTTCGAAGGACAGCATGGATCTGAGCTTATACAAAAATTCTTTTACTCTTGTCATGGCGTGAGCTGATGAGAATGCTAAATATATATCCTTGCTTTTGATCTACAGCAGCAAGATGGAACTTGTAGATGATAACACCATAATTCGGGCAAGAGGTTTACCATGGCAGTCGTCGGATCAGGACATTGCTAGGTTCTTCAAAGGCCTGAACATTGCCAAGTGAGTTCTCTCTTTCCAAATGACACGTTTTTTTTCCCCTTCCAGTTATGTTCTCAGAATATTTTCAGGGATCAAAATATTATGAAAGCCAAAATCTTATGAAACCTCTGGGAGGAGCAATGCCTTCTGACATCATGGTGAACTTTGAGACACAGTAAAATTCTGTGTTGGAAGAGATGCTCCTCTGCCTTGCCAGCGCTCCCCTAAGGAAAATGAAGGAAATGTTGTCCCCTTCATGCTAAGTCTTACATACCCAGGAAACAGGGTAAAATCTCATGGCTTTCCAAGGTCAAGGGAACACATGGTCCATCAGGTTCCATTAGCCCTAGCCACTACAGCCCGTGGAGAGGAATGATGTATTTCCCATTCTTGAATTAGATCCTTGAGGTCTGGAGATCTTTGGAAAGCTGCTGCTTTTAAAGTCTATGGAGCATCAAGGGAATCCACATACATTTCCAGCCTCAAAAGGTTGTGGGACCTCCTTTCTGTCATGTTCTCACCAAAGCAAAAGATGCACTTACCTGTAGTGAGCTGAAGGATGCAGCTGTGGTTCTTTCACAGATCTCTCCCCCCCCCCCAAATTTATCAAACAAATAAATTTTTTTAAAAAAAAATCTCTGTTGCACAACATACAACAATAAGGCAGCAACAACGCTACTGTAAAAGCTTCAGTAATTTTCACTTAGTAAAATGAGTGCCAACTCACTCTGGCTTTACTGAAAACGATAATAAAAAGCAATCACAATTACAAAGGGAATAAAAATGTGTTTCTTTAAGTGGAAACCATAAGAATCTGTAATAAATGGAGTGGAATGGCAAAATTTAGTCTGAAACCATATTGTTAAAGATCATATATGTTAATGGAAAACAAATCCTTTCTAAATAATAACTTTGTGGCAGTTACTTCTAATATGATTCTATAAATGAGCTGCCTAAGAATCACAGGAAAGCCACAATGTAGCATGTAATCCCATTACCACTTTCCTGTAGTTTTGTGGGAGGAGACAAAACATAGATTTTTGTATTTACTAGGGATGAGATGTTCATGTTAACACACATAGACCAGAAAGAGGCTGCTACTTTCATTTTTGTTAATTCGTGAAAAAGAATCTCTGAAACACAAATGCTTCATGTTAACAAAACAGGGACACAAAATTTTAGTTTCTCTCCTTTATTTACCCTTTCTTTCATCTCATAATGTAACAGTGGCTGCACTTAACAGTCCATCAGAACATTCAGACAGAGTGGGAATATTGAAACTATAAAGCTATAAATTGATTGAAACCCAGTGAACATGTTCGTTCTTTGTTTCACTTGTTACTTGTGGTGTGTAAATTCCTGGTACTCTCCATTTTGTACTGCCTTCCCATGCTTTGCTCTGTCTTGAATCCTTTCCTTTTTCCTTTTTCCTTTGGCATTATTCTTTGGATTTCCCTAATTTCTTTTTCCCCTCCAGCTCATTGATCCTTTCCTTTCTCAATTATTTTTGCTGTCTGCCTGCTGCTGTACTGGACTCAAAGAACAGGAGAGAAGACATCAAGTGGTGGGGGAAAGAAAGCTACTCATATTCTTATTGCTTTGGTTTGGGGAGGGTCCCGCCCCTCCTCCCCCCTTTACTTGCTTGCTTGCTTTTCTTGGTTTTTGGTAGATGAAGCTCTGTGTGTGTCTTATTTTGTGGCTGAATATGTTTTTGATTGATCGCTTTTTTAAAAACTGTTACTTTGTTAATTTACTGTGTGTTTCAATTCTGTTAAAGATGTACATTTTGATATTTTGTAGGGGAATGTTTTGTTTGCTGGTGTTTATTGTTGGTTGTACTCTTGCCGTTTTTGTGAGTAGATTGATTCTGTGTTGCCTTGCCTTTTTTTTGTGAGTAGATTGATTCTCTGTTGCCTTGCCTTTGCCTTTTTTGGAGAATTTTTATGGGTTCTTTAGGGCTTTTGGACAAGTTCTAGACAAAACACAAATGGGGGAAAAACAAAACAAAATGACCAAAAAGAGGTAGTCCTTTTCATATCAAATGAAAGGACTGGAGCACAAAAGACGTTAAAGCAAGGTAACCATTTGCAAAATGAAACAAAACAAATGAAATGAAACTCTGCACTTCATATATGAATCCTTTCCACAAAAAGCATATGAAAAATATAGGAATGAATTTTATATTGCTAAAAAAGCTGCTCCCCTCTCCCAAATGTGATCTGTTCATTACTTCTAATTGCTGAAAGAGCCTTTCGTGGTTTCAAGCATTCTAGCAGAAACAACTGTGAACAGTATGAGTATCTCAGGAGTAGAGATGGGGGGGGTATTTGTATACGAATATGAATATCCCCCCGCACAGATGGAAATAACGAGGATCTTGATGATCCATTGGGTCCTTTCCAGCTGTACAGTTCTCAGATTATCAGGCAAAATCCAAAGAAACAAAAGACAAAAACAGGTGGCACCTTGAAAGACTATTATATTTTAATGTGAGCTTTCGTGGACAAATCCACTTCATCAGACATATGGGGAAAAAATGAAATGCTGGATGAAATATCAATAAACAAGTTCTAAGGTGGTGGTGATTGTGATTAATTAAGGTGGAAATGTATTTATTTATTTATTTATTTATTGGACTTATATACCGCCCCATAGCGCTACAAGCACTCTCCGGGCGGTTTACAATTTTAATTATAAAGGCTACACATTGCCCCCCCAGCAAGCTGGGTACTCATTTTACCGACCTCGGAAGGATGGAAGGCTGAGTCAACCTTGAGCCGGCTACCTGGGATTTGAACCCCAGGTCGTGAGCACAGTTTTAGCTGCAGTACAGCGTTTTAACCACTGCGCCACGAGGCTCTTGCTAAGGCTCATGTAGAGCTAAGGCTGCCTCTTGGAAGCAAACCTTGTAGTTAAAACCAAGATTGTTATAATATTTCTGATCTCAATAAATTTCTGTAATCAATACTAGCTCTCTTACTTTCCTAGAAAAGAAAGCTTGGATGTGATTTCTTTCCAATAGTCCCCCTGTAACTGTTCTGCCATTTTAGGGGCTAAATTTGCAAGTTAACAGTTGTAGCTTGCTCTGCTAACAGAGTCTTTAAAAAATATTTTTAGTGCGAGTAGTATGAACATTCTCAGAACTGAAATGCTTTGCCACGGACGTTTGCATGGGCGTAACAACTTTTAAAAAGAGGGTGTGTGGTGTGTATTGCTAAATGCACCAAAGTTGCTTTTATTCATGGGAGTGTGGATCTCGTGAGAAGAAAAGTCTGCCTGTATGGCTGATGCATCACTGCCTCTGTTTGCTGTCTCGCGTTTCAGAGGCGGCGCTGCACTTTGTCTCAATGCCCAAGGCCGAAGGAATGGAGAAGCTCTGGTTCGGTTTGTAAGCGAAGAGCACAGAGATCTAGCCTTGCAAAGACACAAGCATCACATGGGCAACCGGTATATCGAGGTACGTTGCTCAAGCTGCAAAATCAGTTGCTTGGATGAAACACTGGAAATTCTGTGCAAGTGTCATGATACCTTTTCCTTCCTCTTCCCTAGGTGTACAAAGCAACAGGCAAGGACTTTCTGAAAATTGCTGGAGGTAATCTTTCCCTCATCATAATCTACGTAGTTTCAAGTCACAAACGATTATAAAACAATAGTAGGACTTTCCTGTTTTAAAGTACAGACTGGGGATCAAATAGTACCAGTGTATCTATGTATTAGAGAGGTACAGCAATTTGAACACTCTTTTAACTGTTGTAGCACCATCACATGGAATCCTGGGAGTTGTAGTTTGGTGCAGTATTTAGAATTCTGTGCTAGAAAGTTCTGGTGTACTCACTGGAACTTAAAAGGCACACTAGAGTCCTCCAAAAGAAAACCTAATTCTATGCCACCCCCCTACCTTAAAGAATGGAGGAGCAATTTAAGGTTTTACCTACACAACCTGGTTATAGCAGTTTGTACCACCTGAATTTTAATAGTTTCATCCTATTGATTTCTGGGTTTGTGATTTGGTGAGGTACTTAGAATTCTGTGCTAGAGAACTCTAGCGCACACCCCTAAACCAGCCATTCTCAACCTTTTTTCAGCTGTGGTCGTAAACACAATATGAAAGAAATATAGGCCAACTCAGGATTTTATAAGTTGCATAATGAACCTTATAAAGCCGTGTGTGAAGAATTATTTCCAGTCTGTGGCCCCCTTCAACAGCTCCAGGGAGCCATATGGAGCTGTTGAGAATGACTGCCCCAAACCAGAAAAATTCTAAAAACTTCACCAGAATCTATCCATAACTATGTGGCATAGATGACGGTAGTGATAATTACATGCCATCAAATTGATTCCATCTTGTGGCAAGCCTTCTAGATCTTAGTTCTGTCTAATCAGTAGGGTTCAAGTATTTGGATTCAGAACTCTGCTCAGCCATTAAACTTCCCAGTCAACCTCGAGGCAGATGTTGTGCACACGTGTACACAATATATATCTCCATCTCCCTCTTCTTTCCACATACTTTAGAACATTCTAGAACATGCTTTTGATCATTCTATGGAACAGTTTAAATAAAGCTTCTACAGCAAGATAATTAAGATTAAGGATCAAATATTCACATTGTTGCTGAGAAGAGAAAGTTCTAGCATGTGCCCAATGTTGCAATATCATACGCATATTATATGTTTGAGTGTTACATACACATAAGTAGCTACCTGACATTGAGTCATGTTCTTCATTGTGCGCTCTGAGAGTTCTTTGCCAGGAGTTCACAGCATATTTTTATTTTCTTATAACTGGAAAGGACAAGAGTTTATCCCAGGACCCTCGGTTTATGAAGTGTCTGTTGCACTTCTAGTGCGGGTGGGGCCTCACTCAAGGCATTTGGCTGCTTGACACCAAGGAATAAATGACCCCACCCAACCACATCACCATAACCAGCCAAGTTATTTTGGCATATGAGGCACAAAATCTCAGGAAAACATCTTCTCATTCTTGACAGTAAAAAGCAATAATAATGAAGTTTTTAAATTACTCTTATATAATTCCCACAATTATCACTGAAGTAGTTTCGTCACTCAGTTTAATATTAGGTCTGACTCTGGATAGGTGGCTTTGAGAATAGGCTATAGCTCCAAATTGGTATTGGGGGGGGGAGAGAGATTTAAAGGTGCATCTCCTACTTTTGTGCTGGAGAAAAAGTGGGTTGCTTTCTCAAAACCTCTGTTCAGAAGATTTTGGAGCCTGGAATTTTTTTTTTAATTACAACACTCAGATTCTCCCAGATAGCATGACTGCTTTTGTACTCTGGAAGGAATAAACTTACCAAGCACTGCAGTATTGACTCTTTGTCTTAAATTGCATAGGTAGAATAATTCTTAGGGTAAATTCCTCAGGCATTGTTGCTGTAATTGGGCTATAAAATGGGGTTGGGATCTGTCCTCTTGTGCTCTGTAATGGGCTGTGTATATTGATGGCACTGCTTAAATTAATCTTTGACTTGGAGCCCAAGCGTCTTGAGGCATTACCTTCATGTAGGTTATGAATAATGAATCAAGCCTACACATTGCCTCAGGTAAGGGTGGACCACAAAAACAAGTAAAGGAATTGCTTTGCCAAACTTGTCAAGGTGTGTCCTGTGCAGCATTATTTCTGGCTTTTACACAGAGGTAAATGCACTTCAAAGTCTTAAATGTTCAAAGGGCATACGGGGAAAGTTTTGCCATTTCAGAGTGCTTTGAGACATGATATTTATCATGAGAGGGGAAATCTGTCAGTTTCACTTTCTCTACTTTTGATGTTAAGTACTTTCCCTTCTAAATCTGAAGAAATGTGTAATTTTTAAAAACATTCCTTAGAAAGAAATGAAATTCTGATGCCCAGCCAAATTCAGCAGGTACAATGATTCTCAAAACGGAGAAGACCATATTACACCTATCTGCTAAAAATGACGAGGCTTCCAGAGAAAAGAGCTGGCAGCCCTAAATAACCTAAAATCCTATGGAATATATATCAGTACAAACCTAAACTTTTATGAGTTGAGATGGGTGGGTGGGTTGATGGATGGATGGAATTATTTCTCCACCACCACATTTGATTTTCTCTACAAAAAAAAATCTTGATTTTTAAAATCTTACATGCTCTCCATTCCAGATCTAAAGGCATTTACAAATGTTGGTAAATTACTGTCAGAAATGAGCTGAAATAAAATCTTCGACCATACTTATTTATCATGCTGTTACCTTGCCTCACTGATTTGGGGGTGTGTGTGTCTGTCAGATAATACCTTCCATTTATAACTCTCAAATTTTTAAGTCACTTTCCAAACTTTTTTCCTTTTTAAAAAAATTTTAGAAAGTTAAGTATAAAATATAATTGGTGCACAATGTCTTTTGATTTAATAGTACTAGGAGTTGTCTGTCTGAAATTAGCCTTCTTCCTTGATATTTTAAGAACACAAACTGCGATCTGAGCTTCAGATTCTTCTGATTCTTCTTCTAGGCACATCCAATGAAGTTGCTCAATTCTTGTCGAAAGAAAACCAAGTGATTGTTCGGATGCGCGGTCTCCCATTTAATGTGACAACAGAAGAAGTGTTAGCATTTTTTGGTCAGCATTGTCCTGTGACAGGTGGAAAAGAAGGGATCCTGTTTGTAACATATCCTGACAACAGGCCAACAGGGGATGCATTTGTATTGTTTGCCTGTGAGGAATATGCACAGAATGCATTAAAAAAACACAAGGACCTATTGGGTAAAAGGTATATAGAACTCTTCAGGAGTACAGCAGCTGAGGTTCAGCAGGTGAGTCCCAGTGCTTACTAATGTCATAGTGAGAGTTCCTAATTTAATCCTGTTAAAAGGAAGGACTACTTCACACAACATATAATTAAATTGTAAAATTTGCTGCAGTGTTGGTTATCCATGTTGGATGTCACTAACAGAAGACTAAGGCCCTGTGGACACAAGTCATTGTGTCAATATATTACCTCGAGTATCAGAGGCAATGGCTGGAATCCTGTTGCTTAGTATAGGAAGTCACCAATGAGTCAATGGGCCTACTCAGGTGTGGCTTACTGTGCAAAGCAACAGGATGTCACTATCAGAGTTCTGAAATACTACATTTTTGAACTGGACCACCAGAAAGATGAACAAGTGGATCCTAGAGCAAATCAAGCCTGAACTATCTCTTGATGGAAAAAAAATGACAAAACTGAGGCTATCCTATTTGGGGTATATCATGAGAAGGCAGGATTCTCCAGAAAAGACAATAATGCTGAGAAAAGTTGAGAGCAGCAGGAAAAGAAGACGACCAAATACCAAATGTATCGACTCCTTAAAGGAAACTGCAAGTTTAAGTTTATAAGAGCTGAGCAAGGCTGTTGAGTGCAGGACATTTTGTCGGGACATTCTAGAAGTTGTAGACCCAAAAAGTAACTTTTCCAATTTCCCTTTAAAATACCAGTTGCCATGGAACACGAGCAGGGAGCAACTGCATTCATGTCTTTTCTGTGAGCTTCCTTTAAATATCTGGTAAGCCACTGTGAGAACAGGATTATTAGTAGATCAGAGATGTGTTTCTTCCTGGCAGTCAGGACAGACAAGACTGAGTTATGGAGACCAAGCATCTGACTTAGTATAACACTGCTCTCTGTGTTCCTTAGTTAACATTAACTAAGAGGCCAACAAGCCAACATTTGTATTGTTTGCCTGTGAGGAACATGCACAGAATGCATTAAAAAAAGCATGAGGACTTAGAAATCTAACACTGAAAGAGAGTTCCTAGGGTAAGGCTGGGGCCCCTATTGCTGGATACATGTTGTTGAATTCCTGTATCTGTTAGCACCAGATGAAATAAAATGAGAGCAGTGACTTGTCAGACTGTTGGTGAACTACTGTGTTCTAGTGCAAGAATGAGGAGTATGTGGCTGCAAACCCAGTTTTGAAGGCAGTGGTTCTCAACCTTTTTTTCATTTGTGTTCCCCCTTGGCAGCCAATTCCCATAAACTGTATCCTTCTTAACAGGGGCTGAGGGGGGACTCTCCACCCTCTCATCATCAGGCTGCTTCCTCATCATCTCTGGTAGCATGCAGGGGCTAAAAGGGGTTAAAATCCATAAGGAATTTTGTTCCATACAGCTGTCATTGCTAGGAAAGGAGCAGGTGATACAGCCCCCAGGTGAGTGGCAGAAGAAGAATGGATGTCACCTTGGAGCAAAAGCCAATTGGCTGGACCTTCAACATAGTGGAGAGAGAAGGAAGAAGCTGAGGGGTTTCCCATTGCTCAGGATATAAAATAAGTGACTTTCACTGTTGACTTTATGTGTCTTTTCCCACCATTATTCAATTCTTTTCAAGTGCCCCTAAATGTTCTGGTTTGTACCCCTGAGCTAAATGTACCATAGGTTGGGAGTCACTGCCGTGGAACCTCCCACATATCTTGAAAATATATTTAGGTTTTTTAGGGGGAAATTCTGCCTCCAGTGGACATGATTCCACTATTAAATAAAGTGTGCCCTCCTTCTCTCACACACACTTTATGCTAACAACAACAACAAAAAATCCAGATTTTTGGCTTTTGCTTGATTTGGTTTCCCATAATTAATTGAAAACTTTGGTGCCTTTAAGTATGAACTTATGTGCAGGCTATACTCCAGTTTCTATGAAAACCATGCCATACTTGCTATTTTTCAGGTACTGAACCGGTACTCATCCACGCCTCTCATTCCTCTCCCAACTCCACCTATCCTTCCTGTACTACCTCAGCAATTTGTGCCTCCAACTAATGCCAGGGACTGCATACGACTACGTGGTCTTCCTTATGCTGCCACTATAGAAGACATTTTGGGATTCCTGGGGGAATTTTCATCTGATATCAGAACTCATGGTGTTCACATGGTATTAAATCACCAAGTAAGTTAAGGGGAGAAAGTATCTGTGTGCAGAAGCTCTTTCCTATATGTTTTACAGCTATAATGTACTTGAACCTAAATCCAATTGTTAATCCCCACTAGAGTAGACTCACTGAATGAATGTGGCTTATATACCGTAACTGTTGATTTACAAATCTGCATTGACTCAGCAGGTCTCCTCTGGGTAGACTAACAATAGGAGTTATGCCTTGGCCATTATACAGTGTTTTATAGTATCTTTCAAGTATTTCACACAGGGCTGGCTTTGAGGAATGGAATAATTGGGCATTTCCAATGAGACCTTACCTGTCAATCCTCCCTCTTTATGAATATGAGCAATAACAAGAGCCAAGAGGGAGAGATTCTTTCCCTCGCTCCCCCTGGCTGTCTCATTCTGGGCAATTGGGTGGGTTGGTAGGCCCCAGAAGGAAATGACTATCTTGTTTGGCAGTTACATTTTTGACCACAGTTCCCAAAATCCCCCAAACACCATGGCCATGCCAGCCAGAAAGACCTGGGAGCTAGTGGCCATGCTGGTTGGGGAATTCTGGAAGTTGTGGTCAGAAAACTAACGTTCTCAAATTCAGATATCTGGCTAGCAGGGACAAGAGCAGAAACAGGGTGCTTGGCGTGTAGCCTGGTGAGGTATTGCTGTGGTCCCATTACATTTTTGTGCCATCAACATCATGTTCTTTTAACATAAGCTTAAAATTAACATTTTCAGTGGCATAGTTGAGATGTAATGGAATTTCGTGGTTTACCATGACATCAGCAAGTCTTGGGCTTGTGTTTGTCCCTCCCCTTCCCAATAGCACAACTGCAAGGAGATTAACATATTTTGCTATTGTTTTGTTGTTGATTTTACTATCCTCAGTTGAGCATTGTTTATAAACTCTAAGTAGTCTCAGATAAGGTTCTGGGAAGGTGTGGGTAGTCTTCTAGATTCTTAGTCTGCAGTTCCTAGAAGCTGTAGCCAGCACAGGCAATGCTGAGAGTAATGCCAAGGGACCAAAACCTTGCACTTTGCTTAACCCAAACCTGGCAACCAAATTCATAAACTATGGCTTAAAGTTGGCTTGTCTCATTATAGCATGGATGAGGCTAACCACAGTTGTTTTGGACATAATACTAAACTGCTGTGTGCCAAAAATGGAAGCAAAAACTCTCTGTCTCCAGGCAGATGCTCTGGAGAAGGCAAGAGAGCAGTTGATTTGAAGATATGTTGATGTAACACTAAACGGGAGAGCAATCATGGCCCTCCACCTGATTTTCACTAACTCCCATCACCCCTGGGCAGCATAATGATTAAGATACAGTGGTGCCCCGCATAGTGATGATAATCCATTCCGGATAAATCGTTGCTAACTGGAAACGTCACTATACGGGGCAAAAAAAACCCCATAGGAATGCATTAAACTCCGTTCCTATGGGGCATAAACTCACCGCTAAGTGGGAATCCTCCATAGGGCCGCCATTTTCGCCGTCTCGGTAAGCGAGGAATCGGTGCGAAAATGCTGCGGGCGGCCATTTTCTTGATTTGGCGGCCATTTTGGAATCACCAATCAGCTGTTCTAAAACATTGCAATGCGAATATCGGTAACCAAAACACTTACCAATCATCACAATGCGATGTTTACCCTATTTAAACATCGCAATGTGATCGCAAAAGCGATTGCAAAAAACGCGTCGCTATGCAGATTCGTTAAACGGTGCGCTCTTTAAGCGAGGCACCACTGTATTGGAAATAGCCATGCAGAAATATTGGAGAGCCACAGTTGCCACCTCAAATTAAAGCACTATGTAGCAATGCAGCTGAACAAAATCGGTGAGTGGGACCTTCCTCAGCCAGAGCAGCCAGCGAAGCATGTCCTTTTATAATACATAGCCCACAATTCTGCTATATAGTAAAAGTGCAGGGTGATGGTGGTTTTAACCGAGACCAATGTTTCATTTAATATTTGTTTCTGCAAATTTATTCATGAAAGTTGGACTGACCTTTATGTTACGATGCTAAAGCTCTTTGTTCTTCTTTTTCTTTTAGGGTCGTCCCTCTGGAGATGCTTTTATCCAGATGAAATCTTCTGACCGAGCATTTTTGGCTGCTCAGAAGTGCCATAAGAAAACTATGAAGGACAGATACATTGAAGTCTTTCAGTGTTCGGCTGAGGAGATGAACTTTGTATTAATGGGGGGCACTTTAAATCGAAATGGCTTATCCCCACCACCATGTAAGTTACCATGTAAGTTTTGCTTGGGTCTTGGCGGCGCTACTCTCTACTGTACGCTGGTAGGTGTCGGAGCTTCTTTTCTTGACTCTTGTGTCCATCTCTTGGAAAAGGTCAACATATGGGATCTGGAATGCAAAGCTTTGCCACCTGAAATTAGCAGCAGATTCAGATTTTTGGGTTCTCCTTTGTGGTTGTGGACTACTGTGATTTAAAGAGGAATTGGCTTACTTCTTCTTGCCTTTCTGCTGACACACACCTTTTTTTTCCTCCTGGGAATGTAATTTGTGCTGGGCGAGTATTATTGATTTTAAAAATCATTCGGCAATCTAGCTCCTAAAGAGTATTGCAATCAGTTCTCAGTTGCATGTTTATCTTTTTAAATGATCCATAGCAGGCGCTAAGATCAAATATGGATGACTAGGTTCAAAAATAATGAGTATTTAGACAGCCTGTAGTTCATGGTGAATCCCTGGAAGATAACTAGAAGTTTTGAGTGCAGGTAGGTGGCAGCTATATGAACCAGATGGGGTAGGAAAGTTCTAAAATTTCAAATATTTTTTTGGTACTTACGGGCTTGGTGAGGTACATCAACGTGGCCTGGTGGACTAAGGCTCTGGCATTATATGTGGGCCATGGACATACTTTGCCTATCCCTGGTCTGAAAAGAGAAAATTTTAATACAGTAGTCCTATTGAGAAATTTTAAAAAAGATTCATCTGAATCCAGGAAAGGGAGAGTGCTGTCTTTCTGCTCCTTGTGCTACCAATGTAAAAGAGAGTAACTATCTTAAGTAAAAAGCCTCTATCTGCTCTGCGCGAAGGCTTGCCATTCAGCTGGGGTTAGAGCAGGGATGCTGACAAGTTTTTGGATCCAAGTCCCAAATACGAGTCTGAATCTTTGGTCCCAAGCCCTAAGCCTGAGTCCCTATTAAAAACAAACTCTTTTCCCCCAGAAAGAAAGGGAGAGGTGGAAGAGTTCTGAGTTATGACTCAAATCATCTGGGAGAAAACCAGAATCTAGTCTGAGTTGCACATTTAAGTCTAACTTGACAGCAAAACCCACAACTTGAGTCCCCATCTCTGGGCTAGAGTACCTGATCACATGGGGACAGAAAGACCAGGTTGTTGCTTCTAGTTCTCCATAAGAGTGAAAATAACGCTCTCCTCTTCTGCACACATTTTGACCAAACGTCTTTTGAACCCCTGAACTGGGATAACATTCATATATCAATTCCTGTCTGCTTTAGGGCAGGGGTGGAGAATCCTTGGTGCTACAGATGCTCTGTACTACAACTCTCACAACTGTTTACCATTGGTCATGCTGGCTGGGACATGTGGAAGTGAAGGGCCAAAGATTATCCATTCATACCTTAGACCCACAGATAAGGATGGTGTCTGTACAGGTCATAAATGAGATGACAGTCCAGCTGCTAGTAGTTGGTAGTACTTAATATAGCACTGAATCTACATTGAGTGTAATTATATATTTCTCTTTCTGATTACCATTCCTGAATATTTGTCTAAGTCTCCCATGAGCATTGATTTCATGATCTCAGATAGACGTTTGTGTACAGTACTTTCCTCGGCAAAAAATGCCAAGTTCCAAGGAAAGCACTTTACGTGGGATCTGTTGGGTAGTTTTGCATTTAATTCCCAGCCAGCATGTCCAGCGGCCATGAACTGTGGGAGTTGTGATCCAAGACATCTGGAGGATGCCAGGTTTGAGGCAATGGTTGTGAAACCTGGAAAGACCAGTGGATGTGCTCCATGGTTGCCTTCTATCAGCGGATTAGCAAGGGAAAACCTGTTCCCTTAAGAAACGTTGATGTGACAGTAAAGAGCAAACACGTGTCTTGTATGACAGCTTAGAATAAAATACAAAATGGAATCACATTTTAGTTTTGAAACAGAACACTTGTGAAGAGTACAATGTAATTCAACAACATGGAATTTAAATCACAAGGAAATAGGTGCTGCTGGTAGGATATCCTTTGTCATCTAAAGCACTGGTTCTTAACGTTGGGTTACTCAGGAGTCTCGGACTGCAACTCCCAGAAGACTTCACCACCAACTGTACTGACTGGGGTTTCTGGGAGTTGCAGTTCAAAAGCATCTGAGTAACAAAGGTTAAGAACCACTGATCTAAAGCAGCTTTTCCTAGAGTGTTGAAGTTGGAACGTAACGGCTGCATGCTTCTGTCATGATCAGGAATGGGTTGGTCTAAGTGAATGTTAGACACACAAATGACATTTCTGGATCAAAAAGTATAGCTCAGGGTCAGGCAAGTTTGCTGGACCTATTGCTGTTATGTGCCATCCGGTAGGAACCAACTTATAGCAACCCTATTAGGGTTTTCAAGGTGAGGGAGACATTTAAGGAGTGTTTTTACCTATTCCATCTACCCAGTTGGCTTCCATGGCTGAGTGGGGACTCAAACGCAAGTCTCCTGGGTCCTAGTCCATCACTCTATCCACCACACCACAGTAGGTGTCCCCTTAATGGGCTGAGGGACCAAATTTTCACCCTCAGTCTGCTCCATGGGCCATACCAGGGCTGGGAATTCTGAAAAATTAAAAAACTAAAGCCTGAAGTGACTAAATGTCCACTTCAGTTTTGATTTGGGAGATCAGGTTGGACTTGGGGAACTCTCATGGTCTTGGGGCCCATGGGGCGCCGTTTGTCCAGCTGGATATCGATTGATTTCAGGTTATATTTTGGGCATTGATAGCTTTGCAGGGAAATGTTGATCCTCCATGTGTTTTGTCATGGTCTGTTGTCATAGGCATTTCTCCACCTTCGTACTCGTTTCCGGCACCTGCAGCAGTCATCCCAACCGAAGCAGCACTCTACCAACCTTCGGTGCTCCTAAGCCCCAGGACCCTTCAGCCTTCCACAGCATACTATCCAGCTGGTACTCAGCTCTTCATGAATTACGCAGCATATTATCCTAGGTAAACAAACACAAAACAAAACAAAACAGAAGGGGAAAGTTAGATCTCCTCTTGTAGGAAGTGGTCACTGTGAATTAACTGTTCCTCATTGTGTTCATATTAACATTTAGTTACTCTTGCAAGATGCCATTTTCCTATGAAAGACTAAGGTACCTTGCAATTAAAAGATGATTTGCAGAAATTCTAAAATCCATATTGGTGTAAGAAATGCAGACTTTCAAAATCTCTTAATAAGGCAAGCTGCTTGAAAAAGCAGTTTTTCCCCCTTTAGGGTCAACACAATCATCCTTGCAAATTTTATGCCGGTGTCTTCTTAATAATAAGGGTTTTTTGAAAGTAAAAAAATAATGGAAAGGCAATCAACCACACAGAAAGTAAAACAATGAGTTAGTTCTTCAACATGGTGTTGAGTAACAATCACATGTAAATTCACAACAAATGAAAGGAACAAGTAACTTTCTAAGCTTTCCAATGACTGGGAAGTTAATTTGGTTGTGCCTCAAGCATTTCATGTACGGAATCCAGTGCATCATGTTTTGCCAGTTGAAAAGTATGGGTCTCTAAAAATATTAACTTAGACATTACACTGCTCTCCTTTTCATGCAAGATGGTTCTTGTGCATGTTATCTCTTGTCCTGTGTCTCACACCAGAACCCTGGCAAAACTTGCTGTATACCCTGCAATACAAAAACATAAACTACCTTACAATTATTTATATAATGCCATTATTTCCCATCCATGGAGTAAAGAATGTTTACTTGAATATGGTGCAGGGTTTTTTGTTTGTTATTTCTAGAAGGGTAAGCACTCCATAAGCCCACTGCTGGTGACACAATTAGGTCTCAAAATATTGCCCTTTAATAAACCTTCATTTAGTCGTTAAGTCGTGTCCGACTCTTTGTGACCACATGGACCAGAACACGCCAGGCCCTCCTGTCTTCCACTGCCTCCCAGAGTTGGGTCAAATTCATGTTGGTTGCTTCGATGACACTGTCCAACCATAGAAACACAGAAAGTTACTTTATACTATCTGAAACCATTGGTCCATCTAGCACAGTGTTGTTGACATGGTCTGGTAGAAGCTCCTCAGACTTGGAGGCAGGAGCTTTCTGGCCTCCCTGAACATGCTAGCAATCAAACTTGGGACTTTTGGTGTGCAAAACATGTGCTCTAATCAGGAGCTACAGCAATTCTCTAAGATAGGTTTTGCAAATTTCATGGTTAAAAATTTCAAGCTAAGCCTCAGAATGCAGAAAAAGAAGCACCCACAGCAGTTGCCATATTGCATGATTTGGGAAAGTTACCTTTTGGACCACAGGACTATCCCAGCGACTATGCTGGCTGAGGGATTCAACAAGCTGTAGTCCAAAAATGTATCTTTCACTGGTTCCAGTATTCTGTGAAGAAGACAATTTTGAGATCTAACTTGTGAATGCTGTAGAAATTGAAGCCCACCTGTTTCACCCTTGGACTGTTCAGTAGCACTGTTTGGATGGTATTGGGGGGGGGGCATTGGAAGCTTCTGATAACCTTTGTTGGCTAGCCCTGGGGCAATGACGTCACAAACCAGACTATGAGTGAACAACTATTATCTTTTGTGACTATGGATTTCATTGCAATTTTTTAGTATGCAACAGAGAATGGATCTGTACACACAGATGAGTCGGCCAGGTCAGTGCTCAAAGAACGGGTTTGTCTTTAAAGGTCCAAGCAGTTAGATTTTCGGAGCAAGGTAAGGATCAACAATATATTTTCCCTAGTACATCAGGTACATGTTGAGACTCATTCATAGCTGTTCTGGGAGTGAATTTTTGATCTTCCCCCAGGGTCTTTCCCTGACTCCTTTTCCTCCCCCACAAGCCCCACACCCAACTATTGCTCCAGATTCCACCTCAACCCTTTTACAGCTAGAACTGTCAGCTGAGGTAAACACATGCTGCTGTTTCCAGGGTTGTTGGCAAGTCTTCGGATCTGAATCCCAAGTCAGATTCTTTGGTACCAAGGCCCGAATCCCAAGTCCCTATTAAAAACAAGTTTATCCACCCACCCTCAGAAAAAAAGGGGGTTGGTTGGTTCTACATTGCAAGTCGAGTCCAAGTCATTGGGGGGGAGAGCCCAAGTCAAGTCTGAATCGAGTCACTGGTGCAACTGAAGTCTGACCCACAACCCCATCCGTGGCTGTTTATGAACAATGGGATGAGTGCAGGTTCAGCTTATTTTGGAGGAGGGCGCACCCTATCTGTATTACCCATATTTGTGAATGCTGGGAGAAGTTACTTTTTGGGGACCAAATTCCCTCAACTCTCTTCCCACTTGGCATAATTACTAGCTACGCTGTTTGAGGGACTGTCGGAGGTGAAGCCCAAAGACTAAGTTTCCCAGCCTATGACTCAGAGGCTTGTTATCTCTGCTTTCTGTAAATATAGTATATAGCTATTGTGACTGGTAGCTGGGGACCACATTTAAAGGGAGAAGCTCAGATCATTTCCCTTCCTTTGCCACCTGTTGATTGCACACAGCAATGTGCTTCTCATATGATGTAACACTGATGGCCTCTACGTAGGCACTGGCTTGCCGGTTTCCTTGTACAGAGGTGTGCACCACTGGGCACTGCCCACGAGCATCTAATGAACTACTTAGGGCTATCCCCTTACTTTCTGCTGCTCCTTGTTGGCTTACTTCTTGTGGTACATTTTTCTTGGTGCATATGGAAGGGTTGGCTCATGATCCTAAGTCCTACTAGGGGTCTAAAAAACAGTATCGTGTCTGTGTCAGTTCCACATATATACAACCATTAGTATTTTCCCTCCAGTTTTTACATTGTATTGTGGTTTGTTTAAAGCTATGTGGAAATTTGCCTTTATTTTCACATAACAGCTTTCCCTAATAAATCTGCATGTTTTAGGGAAAGATGCAGGTTTATGTGCATCTGTACATCTTTCCCCAGTATATTTTTGTATGCAGATTTTAAACTGTTTGTATTAAAACATTCAGAGAAATGTGCAATCTAAAGAATATCTATTCTGATGTCCATATTAGTCCATGAAATGTGAATTGGGGGGTGTTTCTTTGAAATGAATTTTCCCCCATCAATAATTCATAGAATCAAGAGTTTGCAAGGGACTTGAAGGTCATCTACTCCAGTGGTTGCCAACTCTGGGTCCCCAGATGTTTTTGGACTACAACTCCTAGAAATTCTAGCCAGCACAGCTAGTGGTGAAGACTTCTGGGAGTTTTAATCCAAGAACATCTAGAGACTTGAGGTTGGGATCCACTGATCTACTACAAACACTGGCTAAGTAACCTGTCTAGCAGCCTTAGTTGAATCCATTGTTTAATCCCAACTAGAGTAGAACTACCAGATAAATGAAACTTAACATACATATTGACTCACCAGTGCCCCATTGATTAAATTGGTCCATTCCAACTGGGACTAACAATTGAACTTAGTCCTTCTATTCAGATAAGAATAAATCAAACATGGTATAGAAATGGCAGACTAGAAACAAGTCAAATCCTTGAACAATATGAGTATTAAACTTTATCCACATAATATTTGGATTCTTTCTGTATTTTTCAATAGGTTCCACCTGACTTTCTGCACAACGTCAACAGCCCAAATGGAGATCTGTCTTTGACCACACTCTAAATTCTACAGTGGCTGGAACCTAGCACAAGAAATTTCCCTCTGCCTAGGATACCTGCCTATGTCCGTTTTGGGGTATGGTTTTTTAAAATAGCGGAACACGTGTATCCATGGGAACACTTCTCCCTCCCTCTTTCCCTGCAACGCAAACTTGACATTCAATCTTTGGGGGCACACACTACTTGAGAGCACAGTTGCCAGATTCACGAGGAAGAAATATATATGGATTTTCTCACCCCATATTCAAAATGTTAAAATTATTCTTCTATCACACAGGGATTCACACATTATTAACATTTGTTGAAATAACATGCTGTGATTAAACCAGCCCATCTTTTTTTATTTGCACACATGTGATTTTTTTATATTAAAAAAAAAGACCCTGCGATTATATGCTTTGGCTTTTTATTAAAAATGGTTTTGTTTTGTATATATTTATTTGTTTAAAGATGTATCTTTGGATTCTAGCCAGATTTATCTGATGGTGTACAAAATGGTTAAGAATAGAAAAGGCAATACACTGGAGGAAAAATACTGTAACATAACATAAAATATATATATTATATATATAAATATATATACATACAATATGAAAAAGGAATGCTCTGAACTTGGATATTGCACATATGGCTACTGTATATTTAAGTTACTGTCTCAAGATGTTCTGATGATGCACAAAACCTCCAGCATTTATGCTCCTCCTCCACAAAACTGATGACAGAGAACTTAATTATTAACATCATATCCAACACTATGTTTGTGGGAAATCATGGAAAATGCAACACTTGCTTCCAATAGTCTTTACTGTGGAGGAAATAATTAAGTTTGGTATCACTGGAGGTTTCTGAGGGTCCAGGAGTTCTCATATGGATATTGAATACCTGACTCTACTGTTGAGATCAAGAATAAATTGTTACTGAAAGCATGAACATTTGAACTAAATAAAGGGCTATATCACTGTTATAGAAACTGGTTTGAGCGGCTCTATATGGGTACCATACAAGTGTGATAGGTGTGGATGCTCTGATCCTTGATGTGTGTTGTATTTGTGTTGTTCACACATATTAAAACTGTTTTAAATTCATGTATTTACTTCTTGATTTGAATACTATGCTCAAGCAGTAATGGAAATAGAAACCTGGGTTTTAGGACTATTTCTTATGGCACTTTATTTGCACAATTCGAAATTATGGACATACATGAAATATAAGTAAAATTAAAATAAAATATTAAGAGAAATTTATTTTTACCAGAAGGGGGCAAAAAATTAATACTGAATGTTAAACATAACATATTCTGTAAGCTAGAGCACAACAATACAGAATTAGTATCCTTGGCTAATATCATAATGTGTTTTTGTTGCAGAGGTCTGAAATGTTTGTGATTTAACTTCTCTCAGGTATGCAGCAGAAGTGCAGGGACACAAGAGTATAGTAGCTTTGTTGTTTAGTCGTTAAGTCATGTCCAACTCTTTGTGACCCTATGGACCAGAGCACACCAGGCCCTCCTGTCTTCCACTGCCTCCCGGAGTTTGGTCAAATTCATGTTGGTAGCTTCGATGACACTGTCCAACCATCTCATCCTCTGTCATCCTCTTTTCCTATTGCCTTCACATTTTTCCAACATCAGGGTCTTTCCCATGGAGTATAATAGCTACTAATTCCCAAATAGTCCACTCTTCTCTCATTAACTGGCACATAGTCTTAATTACTCACTCTAAGATGTTAATAGTATAAAGAATAATAATGTTCCCTTTGGTTGTTGTGGGTTTTTCAGGTTCTTTGGCCATGTTCTGAAGGTTGTTCTTCCTAACGTTTCACCAGTCTCTGTGGCCAGCATCTTCAGAGGACAGCAACCTGATTAAATTGGTCCATTTCAACTGGGACGAACAATTAAACTTAGTCCTTCCTTCTATTCAGATGAGAATAAATCAAACATGGTATAGAAATGGCAGACTAGAAACAAGTCAAATCCTTGAACAATATGTGTATCCACATAATATTTGGATATGTGGCTGGACCCGAGCACAAGAAATTCCCCTCTGCCTAGGATACCTGCCTATGTCCGTTTTGGGGTATGGTTTTTTAAAATAGCGGAACGCCAGAGCACAGGTTGCTGTCCTCTGAAGATGCCGGCCACAGAGACTGGCAAAATGTTAGGAAGAACAACCTTCAGAACACAGCCAAAGAACCCGAAAAACGCACAACAAGCATTAGATTCCAGCCGTTTTAGCCTTCGCGAATATAATGTTCCCTTTACTTACAATTGCAATTATATCAACAACAAACTACTGTAATTAACGTAACTGCCTTCAACATAACATTTTCCACCAACCTCCAGGTGGAGCTCTCTTTGAATGTAGAACACATGGAGAGAACTATTGGTTAGTTCTGGACAAACTGACAGTTACTCCCAGCCTAGAAAGGTCAAACAAGTTAGAAGACAGTCAGTTTTTATGTGCATGGGGCAGAAAATGCAGAAGCCATCATAGGCAATTGGCACACATATTAGACAACTGACTGCCCTGCACCTGGCATCTTTTCAATTATTTGCAGTTAGGATGAAGAGTTCCTGATATATCGGGCAGGGGGGCATTGATCCTCAGTGGCAGCACACCACACAACAGATTAAGGTAGCTGCTCCAAGCAGCACATGCTAAGCATCTCCATGGTTAGAAGTTAGAATTGTGTGCCCTATGCCCCTTACCCAGCCTACTATACTCAGGTGGGAAGGCGTCATTTCACTACCCATACAAGTGACGCAGGATCATATTTAACTGGCAGCTTGGGGATTGCTTCAAAAGCAAAAGTTTTCATCTTGGTAACAGTGGCTAAAATCCTATTCTTCATAGGTAATAACATATACAAATAGTGTCATCAACTGGGGCAATTGTTTTGGAAATGAAACATTTTCTATTTCTGTCCCAAGGCACTCATAGTACTTGTGTAATCCCTTTCATTGCCTAGAACAGTGGTACCAGAGTACATGTACCTCCAGGGATATGAACTAAGACATTTGGAATATGCCAGAGGGGGAAGCATGGTAGGAAAAGGCCCCAGGAAGTAGAGGGAGGTGGAACACAGGTATACGTACATTATGGATTGGAGGTCAGACAAAACACGTGAGAGCTTCCTGACAAGCATCCACAGCCCTCAATGGGCGGGTCCATTCCATCTCCTCTCAATCTTTCTTACTTCATCTATTGACTCCTGTTTGATAGGTGAGAGGTGGGTTTGGTCAACACTGTGGTGTGGGTTCTCTCTCATTCTGTGGTTGTGTGTCAAGACTGCAGCTGCCCTGTTGGCCTTTAGTTTTGGGGGAAGCTGGTGAGTTTTATGTTGGGATTCTTGAACAGGCAGCAGAAAGTGGAGAACCAGCAGGGGTTGGAGGCACTTCAGGATGGGAGGTGGGGGAACATGGTGCTGACAGACTGAGGTAGCTACAAAGCTCCTACATCAGGAGCTTTGTTGGCCCCAGCCCCTCCTTCTCTTCTTCAAAACCAAGGCCTGGGGTGGGGGTAGGGAAGCATTTCATGCCACACAATTTGTCCCCTCTTCGGCTCCTGCAGTCCAGCTAAGCAGACGGGGCCATATGAGGTCAAGACCCTCCTTACTAAGGGGATGGGAGACACTTGGCACCATTTTTTTGGGTTTTCCTATTGCTGAGAGTGAGGCTCCCTTTGTGGGATGGGGAATGTGGTGGGATCAGTATGGAAAAGAAGAGGAGCTGGTGGGGCAAGGTTGTGGCTTCTGTGGGTTGTGCCATCCCAGTTACTTTGAGAAAGAAAAGAAGGTGAGCGGGTAGAATTGGGAATAGAGCCAGGTTGGGGAGTGCCCAGGGCTTAATGGAAGCCTATAGGTGGGGAGTGGGGTGGGCCAACATAAGAAATGGATACATGGCTGCTGCTTTGGTATTTTGGTACAATTTATGGAAATGTACTACCAAGGGATACACAAATGGAAAAAGGTTGGGTCTAGAACCATGGGGGCACCAGGACATGAGGAGGAAGTCTTTAATTACCAGAAATCACAGCTGATGGTAAAGTCATCCCAGTGGTGGCAATTTCTGGTAATGAAAGACTTCTCTTCTTGTCCCATTGCTCCCACAACTTCCTGGCAATTAATAGGATTACACCAGAGCTGTGGAGTGACCTGGGACAGAAGTAGGAAGTGTTTACCGGTAATGTCTGAATTTTTTTTCCTGATATCAGGACATCATCAGCCTTACACAGCATAGAATCATAGAAAAGTGAAGTTGGAAGGGACCTACAAGGCCATCAAGTCCAACCCCCTGCTCAGTGCAGGAATACAATCAAAGCATATCTACCAGGTTTATCCAGGTTTTTCTTGAATGCCTCCAGTGTTGGAGCACTCAACAACTCTTGAGGTAACTGGTTCCACTGTTAATTTATGCAGGAAAGAATCTCAGCCATTATGATTTCATGGACAATTTGTGTCTTTTTTTAATACAGTTTTTGTAAGACCATGTATACTCCCTCTTTGACACTGAAGGACACATCTACACACACACACACACACACACACACACACAGACCCCACCCCATGTTAAGAAAAAAATGGAAAGCAAGAATGCAGATTTCCCTCCATCACCACCATCACTCACTCCCTGTCCACAAGAGAGCAATGGCAAATTATCATATTGTGGCTGCATTACTGAGGAAAAAAATCTGGTTCTTTTTAAACATCTAGGCAAAGACCCCTTGTACAAGCTGTCTGAGATAGGAAACAGCTGCACTCCAAACATGAAGGCCTCACATATTTCCACCTGGCTTTGTTCAACTCCAGAACCTAGTAATGGAGTGGTGGGGAAGCACTTCAAAAGCTCCTTTTCCATTAGACTTTCCTCCAGTTTCTGAAGAGGTCATGTAATGAAAAGGCATTTTGGTGTAGCTTTCATGAGGCAGACTTTTTCTTTGCACTATTTCATGTCATTAGCAAATAGAATGTTCGACTGAGCTAGCTTTAGCAACTTAGAAGTTGCCGCTCATGCTTAAATTATGGGGAACAGTGGTATATTCACTGGAAAAAAGCAGGGTAAAACGAATTCTGTATATGGTTGTGATTATGACGAACACAAGGCACCTGACTGTTTTGAGGATAAAAGAAGTGAGAAGGTACGGCTGTAATGACGTGGTCAAATGTTGCAAGATTTGCTCTGCTTATAAAACTGGTAAATTTGAAGTATTTTTTACTGATCCCATGATGCAAAGATTGATTCAAATTAATCCAGTCCTTTTTGCTCCCAAAGCGGTTTTATTTAAAAAATCTGCCACTGAGAGAATTCTACTTTTTCAAGCCAGAATGATTGAAATGGGCTTTTTCTCATACATGTTTTTGTTGTTGTTGTTTAGTCATTAAGTCGTATCTGACTCTTTTTGACCCCATGGACCAGAGCACGCCAGGACTTTTTCTCATCCATGTTTTTGTCGTGTCTGACTCTTTTTGACCCCATGGACCAGAGCATGCCAGGCCCTCCTGTCTTCCACTACCTCCTGGAGTTTAAGTCATAGATCTTACATTGCAAGTTCCTATGCGGCATTTTTCTTTGCAGCATCGGACTTTCCTTTCACTTCCACAGTTGAGCGTCCTTTTGGCTTTGGCCCAACCAATTCATTTGCTCTGTAGCTACTTGTCCTTGTCCCCCGCTCTTCCTATTCATTTGCTCTGTAGCTACTTGTCCTCCGCTCTTCCTCAGTAATATGTTGGACGCCTTCCAACCTGAGGGGCTCATCTTCCAGCATTATATATTTTAGCCTTTTGTTTCTGTCCATGGAGTTTTCTTGGCAAAGATACTGCTCCAGGTGGATCACGTTTAGAACTCTCCACTATGACTTGTCTGTCTTGGGTGTCCCTGCACAGCAGAACCCATAGCTTCTCTGAATTAATCAAGCCCCTTCGCCATGACAAGGCAGCAATCCATGAAGGGGTCTCATCTCATCTGGATATTTGCAATATATTCTTGTAAATGTGTGGGAGTCTATAGGTGTTTTAGTCACATAAGACAGTTGGGGTGTGATGTTTGAGATAAGGGGTCACACCCCCATATTCTTTCCTTGCCTCTGAT